TCACGCACTCACACAGAGACACTCTCACACTCTCACACTCTCTCTCTCACACACACACACGCACACACACACACAGAGAGATATATGAATACTCAAGTTGAAGAATTCTGTTGTTTCAGGTTTCTAGATTCCAGGTTTATGTTTATCATTGTCATATACATTTTGCATTCTGCGCTTTTTACGTAGATTTCAAGTATTTTATTTCATACAATAATACATTTCAATCCTCTGTTGAAAAAAAAAATAGAAACCATCACATAATTTGTAATGGTTTGACTGGTTATAATGAAAATTGTTTTCAATGGAAACTGTAATGGCTCCTGTTGGTCTCTACCGGTAATTGGTCACTTTCTGTTCATGGCTTTTGTTAAATCCACTAAATCCTAATATAATATGTCCCAAAACACACTACAGGAAACCATTATTTAAAGGTTTTAATGGTTAAAAGTTGATGGTTTGTAATGGTATTTGAAGTGGAAATCATTCAAATTTCTGTGATGGTTTCTATTAGTTTTGTCAGCAGGGTCACCATGGGTTTTGTGATGTTATTTGCCATAAATGCAATAGGATTGATGTAATATTGTGAGATAGTAGCGACTGTTTGTAGTTGTGGTGGGCCTATTTGGAAGAAAATCCAGGGCTGTTTTTTACTCCCAGTCCGTCCTTGAACCCACTAGATGCGGACGCATGTTTAGAAAGCTATGTAAAATGAATGTAAGTTCAACTTTTAAAAAACATGTCTCGAGACTTTATGGCGGTTTTCCCCATCCCACTGCATCTCAAGTTTTTAAATGAATAAAGTACTCTTTGTGATTGGTTTTCAGTCCTTTGTATTAAACTATACATACATGCATGATGCCGTTTTGTTTCTAATTGTTTAAGCAACTTTATTAATTATAGATGGTTTATAAACATTATTTTAAACGTTATGCACTTTTTTCAAAGATTGTCGTGTTATTTTATTATGCTTTGAAGAAACGTGCATATTTTGTTCGATGCGCCCTGTTGTGGCCTCAGGAGAGAAGCCAAAAGCTTTTTTCCCCCTCTAACTGAAATTATGCCTTTTAAATTTGAATATAATTGGAATATTGATAAGTAAAAAAATCGAATTTAGTTTTTTCAGCCATTTTGACAGCCCTAATCCAATGTTTAAAGGGTTAATTCACCCAAAAAAGAAAATTAGCCCACATTTTACTCACCCCCAAAGCATCCTAGAAAAGAATATGCACATTTGTATGTATACAGTACATTTATTTGTGTAGAAATGCATTACATGCAAAAAGAAAATTCATATTTGCATATCAACTTTTACACATTTTTTCCCATGTAAAGTCATATTAGTTTAAGCAAACTGTATCGCTATATAAGAAATTCTAAACTAATAAGAAATTCAAATTTGGTGTGAACAAACCTGTACAGAGGGAGCTGAATTATAAAGTTTATAATTCTAGAATTGAGCCAAAGTGACTGAGAAAAACTGAAAGTGAACTGTAAATGAAAAGCAAAATGCATTAAACATTTCAGTATTTCATTGAAAATGGTATCATGTAAATACCCCCAAAACAAATTAATGCCTTAAATGCCTAAAAGTGGACAAAATATCATGAAAAAACACAATCACGAAGGAAAAAAATGGAAAAACGAAATAATAATAACAATAATTATTATTATTATTAATAACGACAGAAATAGACTTGTGATTTTTCACTTTCTCCACCTTGCAACTGAGGTCTAAAATTAAGTCAGAATCAGCCTAATGTCTATTTACCTCAGGAATAATGTCAAGATTCTGAGAGAAAATGCACTTTTAAATATGGATGTAAATATTGCTTCACTTTATTTCAGTCACAGTTTCTGCTATATTTTCTGTATCGAGTACTCGTCTGTGTTAAAGCTCTTCCTTCCCACACTCACAGTACAGAGTTTTCACTCTCTCAAGCATTATTTTCTTGTGCCTTTTTAAAGAGTCAACCCTTGGAAATCTCCGTCCAGATCAGTTCAATTTCCTCACAGCAGAGTGAGAGCGATGAGGATGAGCTCTGAGTCCAGCTTTCCATTTAAAACTCTTCTCACACAGATGACTTCGCTTTAGTATGAATTCTCATGTGACTATTAAATTCTTGTTTAAAGGTGAAACACTTTTCACACAGAGCAAGTAAAAGGCTTTTTCCCAGCATGAATTAACATGTGACTCTTAAGGCATTCTTTACGTTTGAAAGTGTTTCCACACTGAGAGCAGGTGAAAGGCTTTTCTGAAGAGTGAGTTATCAAATGAACCTTAAGGTGTCCTTTCTGAACAAAACTCTTTCCACACTGAGAGCAGGTAAAAGGCTTTATTCCAGCATGAATTAACATGTGATTCTTAAGGCATCCTTTACGTTTGAAAGTGTTTCCACACTGAGAGCAGCTGAAAGGCTTTTTCCCACTATGAATTATCATGTGATTGTTAAGGCTTGCTTTACGTGTGAAAGTGTTTCCACACTGAGGGCAGGTGAAAGGCTTTTCTGTAGAGTGAATACGCACATGCTCATTAAGTTTTTTTTCCAATGAGAAACTCCTTCCACACTGAGAGCAGGTGAATGGCTTTGTGGAAGAGTGAATAAGCACATGATCATTGAGTTGATTTTTCTGTGTAAAACTCCTTCCACACTGAGAGCAGCTGAAAGGCTTTTTTGAAGAGTGAGTTACCAAATGAATCTTAAGGTGTCCTTTCTGCACAAAACTCTTTCCACACTGAGAGCAGACAAAAGGCTTTATTCCAGCATGAATTAACATGTGATTCTTCAGGCTTCCTTTACATGTGAAAGTGTTTCCACACTGAGAGCAGCTGAAAGGCTTTTCCCCACTATGAATTATCATGTGATTTTTAAGGTTTGCTTTACGTGTGAAAGTGTTTCCACACTGAGGGCAGCTGAAAGGCTTTTCTGAGGAGTGAACAAGCACATGATCATTAAGTTGTTTTTTCTGTGTAAAACTCCTTCCACACTGAGAGCAGCTGAAAGGCTTTATTCCAGCATGAACTAACATGTGGTACATAAGGCTTCTTTTATGTTTGAAATTGTTTCCACATTCAGAGCAGGTGAAAGGCCTTTCAACTTCTGTTATCTGAATGTTGCTTTGTGAGCAACTCTTTTCAGTTTTGGAGCAATTCATTGATTGTTCTTCAGCATCTTTCTGATCCTGATGGTTCTCCTCCACTTCGTTCAGATCTTGTCTTTCCTCTTTCACTTTCATCAAGCCTAAAATGAAAACATTAAAATTATGAGAATCAATTTGGGACAATTGGAAAATATGAAATTAGGATATGTTTCCAAGTCAATAATAACATTATTTTATCATTCTGTTAAATATTTTAATTTGGCAGTCAACCAGTAATGAAATTAAAATTGTATGGCCTATGCAAATGTGACGTTGATGCATCCAACATGAAAGAAATGCCCGCGCTCACTTGTCAAGACATCATAAGCAAGTCGTAACGGCAATGCGCTGTCATTAACAGTTGGTGACATCCTCAGAAAACCTCTAAAGCATTACATTTAAGTGAAAATCAATAGCAGGTAAATACAGTGTGATGTGTGTTTTGAAACCAGCAAAAATCGTAATATAGTGATGGGAGGGATGTTCATTTAGTGTTTTTTTCCCCCCTGGAGATTAATCAATGCCACTTAACCGATAATTAACTGTTAACTGGCAAGATTATGTTAACTCACAATTAAATCAGAATTGACATTAAAAATATCAAAAATTTGTTTTCCAGGGATTTAGTTTTACATTTAATTACAAGTAGTTAATAGCAGCATAAACAACAGTACATCAGGATTCACACATCTTCACATCAAGCATCTGCAGCACTTCTGAAAAAATAATTAATATACAAATATATACAAAAGTTAAATAGGCCTATATGTGGAATATATTTACATTTACATTTAGTCATTTAGCAGATGCTTTTATCCAAAGCGACTCACAAATGAGGACAATGGATGCAATCAAAATCAACAAAAAAGCAATATGCAAGTGCTATAACAAGTCTCAGTACACGTAGCAAGTTTTTTTTATTTTTTATTATTATATAATAAAAAGAAAACAGATAGAATAGAAAAAGAATATAGCAAGCTAGTGTTAGAGGCCTTTTTTGCTTTTGTTAATTGTATAATAAATAAAAAGACATTAGATAAAGTACAAAAAGATTAAAGAAGCTAGTGTTAAGTGTTTTTAAAGAATATAATTATAATAGAGAGTGCTAGAGTTGGAGGGTTAAATAAAGATGGAAGATATGTGTTTTTAGCCAATTCTTGAAGATGGCTAAGGACTCAGCTGCTCGGACTGAGTTAGGCAGGTCATTCCACCAGGAGGGAACATTTAATTTAAAAGTCTGTGAAAGTGATTTTGTGCTTCTTTGGGATGCACAATAAAGCAACGTTCACTTGCAGAATGCAAGCTTCTAGAGAGCACATAAGTCTGAAGTAATGAATTTAGGTAAAGGGGTGCAGAGCCAGTGGTGGTTTTGTAGGCAAACATTAATGCCTTGAATTTTATGCGAGCAGCTATTGGTAGCCAGGTGTGACATGCATTATTTTCAGCTCATTAAAAATGTATCTTGCTGCTGCGTTTTGGATTAATCGTAAAGGTTTGATAGAACTGGCTGGAAGACCTGCCAATAGAGCATTGTAATAGTCCAGGCTGGACAGAACAAGAGCTTGAACAAGGAGTTGTGAATCAGCTGATCATCAATCATAACTCCAAGGTTTCTGGCTGCTTTTGAAGGAGTTATGGTTGATGTGCCTAACTGGATGGTGAAATTGTGATGAAACTATGGCTTTGATGGAACCACAAGCAGTTCTGTCTTGGCAAGGTTGAGTTGAAGGTGATGGCCCTTCATCCAACAAGAAATGTCTGTTAGACAAGCTGAGATGTGAGCGGCTATCATCGGATCATCAGGATGGAATGAGAGGTAAAGTTGAGTGTCAGCAGCATAGCAGTGATATGAAAAGCCATGTTTCTGTTTCTAGTGATGCCATGTAGACACTGGTTCAAGATGGCGCCGAGCATGGCAGCCGTGTTGCGAGCTCCGAGAAAACTCTGCAGTTTTTCGTTTGTTTTACTTGTTATTTTGTTGTTCTACGTGTTGGATGTTGTTAGTATAACTGTCTACGATAGACACACGCTTTTAAACATTGGCTCCTACGTCGCGCAACGCAAACCGGACTTTGAGTTCTTGAACGCCGGCGCTCTGTTTACAGACACTTGATATGATTCTTTAGGGTCTTAATGAAAAGTCTATAACATACTAGGGTAAATCAAATTTCTAATATTTGTTGAATTTAAAATAAATATCCACATTCGAATGCAAAAACGCTACATTCGAATTTTAGGTGTGCGTCAGGCAGACTTATCAATGGTGCACAAGATGCAATGACAATGTAGGTGTCATTGCCTTTTAGGGTGCTTTCATACCTGGCCTGTTGTTTCGGAACCTGGCACATTTCCCCCCTTAGCTCGGTTCGTTTGGGCATATGTGAACACTAGTGCTGTGTTCAAAATATCGATACGACGATGTATCATCACAGAGATTTGACGATACGAGCATCGATACAGCTGGCCCTGTATCGATATTGTGGCACGTGTGCAGCAGTGGACCGCGCTTAATTTGTTTAAAATTTTACAACGTTTAAAATTGAGTAGAAAATTGCGAGGTTTCTAAAAAAGAATGAATAGAGCATATATAGGCTACAACAAGGTTTAATCTGGCCGCAGAGGAACTCAACTGGGTTGCTTGATATGAAGAGACGTAATCCCCAAAACAGAGCTTCACACTTGCGCTGTTCGGCCGCAACGTGATCTGTGTGTGTGACTGAACTTAATATATAACTGCTTCTGTTTCACACAAATGCTGGCACAGACGTGCATGTTCGGCTAGAGTCGCTTTGAACTCGTGCATCTT